TCTAAATAGTATCGGCGCAACTATCTCTATTTGTTGCAATTTCATTTGTTTACATTTATCAGCTGTTCATTTGGCAGCATATTCATCAAGCCGTTTCTAAGACGTAATTGTTGGGTTCAACAGTTGCCAGCAGTTTCGTAGCATATGAGCTAAACAGCTACCTCTTATGAACGCGACCAATGTGTGGCTTTCTGCTTTTAGACAATTCAGTTTTAAAGCTATTTAAGTCCCCTTACATTGGATACCAAACTTGTTTAATTTGAATAAGCGGTTTGTTTATTATCCGGAAAGTACAAGGCATATCAAACAGGTAGAAGCATTAGAGAAAAAACAATATTTGCGCGTATTTTGTTGTTGCTTCTGGTATCGAAAGTGTCAAAAAATGTTCTGATTTTTTCTTCTAAATCAAAGCGCGCCATGTGAAATAAAAAATATTAAAAAATTTAAATTGGTAAAAAAATTAAAAATGTTGCAACTTTATTTCTTAGTAAATTTTTTTCTTCTCGAAGCATTGATCCATCCTTTGCAAGGCCCAGTAATCAGTGGTTGTGCTGCTGAATTGGACGAACGTTCCAAAAGCTGTTATTCAATCGTTTGTTTTATATGGAAAAAGGTTTCACATGCAAATAGATTTTAACAATTTTGAATTTTTGTGATGAAAAATTTTACATTTTCGAGAACAAATAATTTGAAAAAATAAAAATAAAAATCAAATCAGCTACCCGTTCAATGTGCCTTAGGAAAGTACTTTTGTTTCGGATTAAAAAATATTTGGCCAAGTTTAACTCGTAAAAAAAATAACTGTAATTTTCGGTCCCTTCAATATTCGCATTCGCAAAAGATTCGCATTGATTTTTGCGAATGCGAATGCGAATGCGAATGTTAAAATTAATGCGGAAGCTCCGCGGTTGCGAATGCGAATATTCGCAACAACCCTGGTCTAGACCTGGAGCTTGTTATTTTTGCAGGCTTTGATTTCTGAAATCAACTTCTCGACATCTAGTGTTACATAAAACGTTCCAAAAAAGTTAGATCTCGTAGTATACGCCGTGCATAAATTTCGTAATAAAATTGTTCCCATTCAACAAGCGGAATAGGGTTTGATATTGAATGCTTTTTGTTGCATTCTCTGATGACATTCCAAAACTCTTTTGAATTTTTTACGTTAGCAAACTTGTTTTTGGCAGCTACGTCGTATGCGCTTTGTTTGCTACTTAGCAACTTTTTATTTTATACTCTATTTTAAAATTTATATATGTAGTTTGATTTATGTTCATTACTAAATGATGAATTTTTCGCGTTTATTGCTAAGCAACTCTTGATCAAACCAGAGATTTTTGAAGTGGCTTGATGATTTCCCTGACGTGTTTCTGAACATATTAAGTTTTTGAGCTGACCTTTTTATTGATTCTATCAGGTTTGAATATTGGGTTTCTACTGAAGCACTAATAATGTCACATTGAGAAAGACAATCCTCCCCACACTGAAGTGCAATTAATTGTGGGGCTTTTGTAGGTTCCCATTTCAATATTTGTTTTTTGTATGTTCCCTTAATTCCTCCAGATTTATTTCTTGCATCACTATTAAGCGGTTTATTTGTACTCAACTTTATAGGGAAGTGGTCTGAGCTTACTACGTCAAATTACACTTCGGCTTTATTGGTGTGAGGAATAGCCTCTACGTTTGCCCATATCAAATCTATAGCACTTTCTCCATTACTGTTTGAAAAGGTAAAGTTTCCTGGTGTGTCGCCCGGTATGCGCCCATTTAGTAGAACAAGTCCATTTCTTGACATAAAATTACATCAATTTTTGCCCCGATTTCTAACTATTTTGTCCGCAGAAATTCGTATGGTCTCTAAAATTGAGTTTAGCCCTAGAAGGAGATCGCAGCTACTTTCGCTACCAATTCGAGCGTGAAAATCACCACCAATTATGGCCATTACCGTAATTATGGGAAATTTCATCTAAAAAAATTCTAGAAAGTCCAGCGCAGTCTCAATGTCATAAGTCGCTTTAACATAGACAGAGCCAATCATCAATTTAAAGTTACTTAAAACTATACAATTGAAAATCCATAAGGGGGATATATCTATTACAAATGACTTAAAACTATTGTGTATTAACGAGATCAGACCACCGCTTGCCCTGCCTGAAAATTTTTCTCTTGCTGCAGCAGCTGAGAAGTGTTCAAAGTTGTTCCATGGTAAAGGTGAATTGTCAAATTCAGTTTGCAACCAGGTTTCGCACAATCCAATTATGTGTGCTTTAGCAAGCGACGTTTCATTGTAGATATTGGCGATGTCATACACGTTCCAAAATGAGATATTCGAAAAAGATTACGGCTCTAAAGTAGAGTCTTGTTTACTTTGGATACATATTTGTTTTGTTTACTGGTTTTTGAGCTATCTTTGTAGAGCAGCTGAGTAAAATCGACAGATAATCGTTCATAATCCGTTGGATATAATTGCTTTATAACGTCGACTGCATTTGTTCCTTCCTCCATAAATTTTTGCTTCGTTTTCCAGTGAAGCCAATGGTTACCAATTTAATGCGATCATATCTCACTATTACTTTATGTAGGCTACTAATTGCTAGAATCTTTTATTTTAATTGTAACATAACCTTCTTGTTTTTTTGTCTGTCATCATTGAGATCCTTTTCTATATAAATGGCTAAACCAGCCAGTTTTTTAGTATTTTTGAAAACCGCCTCGATTGCGTCGACTGAATCGAATTCAGCTAAGACGGCCATTTTACCATTTTTAGCAGAAAGTTTCCTTGTCCAGGCCTTTGAAAATTTGATTTTTTCTTTTGACGAGATCTTCCAGAGATCCGCCGGCCGTCTATTATCTTTTGGGCTTTTAAACTCTCCACTTCCTACTTCAGCTCTTCATTTTGAACAGTAAGTTTGTTAATTGTGCCCGAGACATTGTTGAGCTTCATCAGGTCATCGACAGTGAGATCAGCTCTGTTCTGCTTCCCTAGCGCTGTGTTATCTGAGTATTCCGGACTTAAGTCGGATAATAATCTCTTTGATGGGTTTTTCGTTGGAGTTTTTTTCACAGACATTTTACCTTTTTTGTTATTGTTTTTTTAAGTTATCGAGCTCACCATGTGGAAGTGCTGTATCAGCTGCTCAACTGCACGCAACTTTTCTGAAGTTTGACTGAAAGAGTCAGCTGGTAATATTTTTATTTTGGTTCACCGCGTTTTAGATAATTTGAGTGAAACTTCTGTGATTACTTTGCGCGTAGATTTAATATTTTAATTCGTGTTTTCCACCAATATTCCCCGATCACAGACACTGTTTTTAATTACACGCGTTAGCAAAATATTCAGACTCGCATTGAATGCAAATTCCGCACCGAACGCTAAGAATTATAAGTATGCAGACAAACTTTCACGGAGCCCTCAATATCAACACGTAAACTGCAACATACACGAACGTAAAAAATGTCGAATAAAAACAGCAAATTTTATTTTATTTTGAATACGGTTGCAGCGAGTGCGCTATAAAGACAGTAATAAATTCGTTTAGTGAAATCTCGTTTTTATTAATGCGGTTCTTTCTTAGGAATAAGCATGGTAATAGGTTACTGTCCAGTGACCAAACTAAAATCGATACTAAGGCCAGTTTTTCATTGAGAGTTTAATTCTTTTTATCATTTAAACTAAGTTTAAGCTCAGGGAAATTTACAGGTAGTTTAAACTAAGTTAAAATGTCCAATCTGGCTGTGCTCGAAAGCAGATTATTGTGGAAAAACTTGTATAGCGACACATAAATAATCAAAATGTTCATTCGAAGGATTAAACTTGTGCCCAACAACATTAGCTAACACAACTTGGCTTTTGCCCTACAAAATAACCAAGGTTTGAGTGGATTAAACTCTCAATGAATAACTGCAGTATAAGCGAAGTTTATATTTAAACAGAGTTTTAACTAAACTTCGTTTAAACTAAATTTAAACTAGCACTGAAAAACTTTCCCTCTGTAAAAAATTATTTTAATTTCAGGTAACATACATGCCAATACATAATAACCATACAATAAATGTTTAAAATACCTCACGCGCTAAATAACAACAAGTGATTAGAAATGCTGCAACAAGAAATTTGCTACGGACCGTGCATCCAAAAGGCTACTGAGAATTCATCCTTACTACTAATAACAGCAAACGTTGGAACTCTTTTTGAGGATGTAAGTATTTACACACATACATGAAGTACGTTTTACGATAGCTGAAGCATAACAAATTAGTTTTAAGCAGCACCAGTGGGCTACGCGGGGTTTCTATATATTTCGAAAACAGACATCTATGGTCCTATTTGGCTCATATTCATTTTGCCTTCATCTGGCTAAAATCAAAACATAGGATCGGATTTACTTGTAAATTGTGCAATGGTTGTCTATTAAGAAGACGCAGCTAAAGCATTTAGATTAGGTAAGGTTATTTTGGCTGGCTGACAGTCCCATATAGACCAATTTGAGAATTTCAGTAGTGCTTGAAGCCTAAGTGTGGGGCTCCGAGATATTTCAATCGTGTTTTGGAGACAGCAGGACAATCGCATAGGATGTGTTCTAGGGTCTGGGTGTTTGGCGCATTCCATCTCGATATAGTCTGCTTTTTCACCCTCTGGTCTTTTTCGATATAAAGATTTTTTTTAGAGGTTTCGGAATATTATTCTAACAAACTACGAATACGAATCAACACTACAAAGCTCCTTTACTCCCGGATACCAAATTACAGCTGTGTAACAATAACAAATATAAATGAAAGAATGCAAAGCAATAAAAACATATTTATAACAAGTAAAAAAAGTCTAAGTTCGGAGCCGAACATTAAATATAGTTTTTTTCACCTTTCCGAAAACTACAGCTATATGGTAAGCAGGGCAGGTTTTAGCCCTATTTCAAACATCTTCGATCCCATCGCCCATTTTCCGAAATTCCTTAATAATGCTATTTCTTTTCAAAGGATTTTTGTTAATATCTGTTTAAGCGACTTATGCTTAAAAGTGCATCCCTGCGTTGCCATGCATTTCACACGCACCCCTGCGTGAACACCGCCAAAAAGCTTCCCTGGTTTTTCGAACTTCCAGGGTTCTCTTGCTTCGTATAAATGCGCTGAGCGCAGTTGAATCTTCCTTCTTATTATTATCAACATCCCACCTGAAGACATCGTGAGCTACAGTTTGGAATTACATCGTGGGATTCATCCAATTTTCGCTATTCAACCTAAGTATCATTTGTATGGCTAAACCATACGCAATTGTATTGTAATTTCATTGGTTTAAATAATACTTACTTTTGCATTGTATAAAATAATACCAATTTTCCTTTAAACGTTACCACAAAGTTACATTGTAGACAATCCTATCAAATGATCTTCAACACTTTGCATTGTATAAAGCACATATCATTCATTCGATTTTTTCATTGTACCTTTTATTAATACAATTAATTAGTTAAAACAAACCACACCACTACATAGTAGTGCTAGATTTAAGGCAACGTGAATTTCCATTAGTAGTTTATAAATTAGCTATACTCGTTAAATAAATCCAACGTTGAATTTTTCTACATTGCAAACCAAATCTTCATCATTTCCATCCATCAGCAGTGCTTATACATGCGCTTCAACATGGTCCTTGCGAACCGAATTTGACAGCAAAGGAACGCAGCTAATAATAAGCATACCCGTAGTTGGCAACGCGGACATCGAAAGAGGAGTTTCGAACAACAAAAACTCCTACTGGCAATGCTGTGGGCGACAGCCATATTATTTTTCACACACAATTTTGGAATGGCAGCAGCAGCAGCAACATCGTAAATTTTGTGCCGCGATACAATTTCAACCATCGTCATAAAAGTTTAACGCGTTTTAAAAGTGCCAATTCTCAGTGCGTCGAGTTCAAAAAAAACCAAAAAACCAAAAGTGACTACAAATTGCTGCCCACCGTGGGATATTTGCAGACAGGTGCATCCACCAACAACAGCGCATATTAAGGGACGCTCAAGGAGCCCCGATTTTGAAGCGGCGTGGGACAGCAATCCCTAGTGAAGACTCCCGACTTCCTCAGCGAGGCGACAGCCCAGCGTGGGATATCCTAACCACAACCATAAGGATGAGTAAAATTATGGAACGCATGTAAGTTAGACCATTTTTTTCCGTTATTGCTAACGTACATATATACATAGTAATCACCGTTACCTCTGAACGGTGCTTGCTTATGTACATATATACCCAAGCCAGCATATACATACGTACATGCATTTTATGTACAGACACGCCGTGAACCGTTTTGTGGATCGGTACTCGCTGTTGGCTTAATCGCTATCACGAACCATAGTTTGCACCCTTAACATATGTATGTACATACATATGTACATGTGTATATGCCCATTTGCTAGTTTTGTATTAGCTGCTAGCGCAAGCGGTTTGCGACCGCTGCTTATACCTACTTACCCACATTCGTACTTATATGCATATACATATATCTATATTCGTACATATATATGTACAATCGCTCTCCTTGCTGAACATTGTTCCAGACTCTTCCATATACATATATGTGCATGCCTGTGTACTTGGGTGGTTGCCTATTTGCCTCGCCAACTTTGAAAATCTTTTCGTTTAGCGAAATTTTTGATCATACCACCGCCATATGTCTATTCGGTTACGCTAGCGGTGTGATTTCGCTTCTACATACGCATGCTTGTATGAACGTTTCAACCCTCTTTGAGTTGGACCATTAGCCGTTTGCGCCGGCGTTAGAATTTTGCCGGGCTTATTTTACCATTTGCATTTCTTTGCTTCTTCGGTTTCTTGCTGGCTGCGCTGCCAGTTGCTTTAAAATTCTATAAGAATCGAAGACTGCAAAAGGGACACACTCAAAGTAGGAAACGAAGAGGGGAATTAACGAGCACTGTACAAGCATTTGCAGAGATTTCTTCCTAAAACATACATACAGACATGCGCGCTGATGTACATACATAGTGACGTAGGTACAAAAACCGTACACTAGATTCACATTCTTGTTCGTAATTTTTTACCACTTGAGCTGGCATACAAGGCAATCCACATTTTCAAAACGTTCATTCCTCATTTACATATGTACTTCTTGCATGCCCTTTTATTTATATGAGTTAATCTACAAAATTACATACAATATCCATTGTCACTATTAGTTGCTCTCTTGGCATATACATATGTACAGGTGTATATGCGAAATTTATAGTGGTCGTAATAATTGCATGCGCCAGCGCTTTTAGACCCAGGCTAATACATGCCTATATATACACATTCATCCGTATGTATAGACCTACATACGTACATATGTGTATTGTGTTCATGGTCTAAGGCAAACATTTTAAGTGAACATTTTTCAAGTACCCTTCTATATACATATGTACATATGCATGAATGTGTGGAATTTTGATGGTTGTATTACTGATCTCCACCGGCTTTGAAATTCGTGCTCTATTTTAACAAAATCCCGTATTACTTGCGCCGGAATACAAGGAAACTAGAATTATCAAGACACTAATTCCTCATTTATGGATATCTCCGAGTTCATCTATAAAATTACCTACAGGATCCATTGGAATTAGTGAGAAACAATACCGAAATACGTTTTGTGAATTCAAAAAAATAATTTTACGTTGAGATCATACATATACATACACACGTGCTGAATCGTATAACTAAATACATACATATGTACATAGGTATAGTAGCAATGTTTTAACCAAACCCAGTGGTAAATTTATGCGATCCGGTTGCGTAAAACTGTAGTGCCTTGCCGGCACATACATACATATACGAGCTCCGGGGTTCA